TCGTAAGAGGGTTGGAAAAGCAAATTAGCTACTCATAAAAACATGAAAAATAGAAATAATAAGAAGTGGATTGAAATAAAATATCATATTAAATTAAGAAGTAATTACAATAGCTAAATTAAAATTGAGAACCGAAATCTAAAGAAAATGATAACAACAAAAAAGAATTGCAATAAAAATAATTTAAGGAATGTTGAGCAAAATTAAAGACAAAACAAATTATAAAAGCATAAATTCTAGAGAGAAAACAAGCTGGAATTTAAATGTCAAGTTAGCTCTCTTTTGAAGCTTGATGAAACTTGGTATTTATAAGCTAAACCTTGCAAGTTGGTGGAGAAAATCTTGGGTATTTGAGTGGAGGAGCTACAATGGGGCTTAACAGCATTTGGTTGCACGGATCAAGGGATGGGTTGAGATTTCTTCCAACTGCCCGGTCAACAAAAGCCTTTATTTGTAGGTGGAGAATGCGCCAGGCGCATTGCTGAAGTTTCTAGAGTGTTGGCGATGCGCCAGACGCATCGCTGCTAGCTTTAAGATAGCCTCTGTGTCATCTACAGCAGGTGCATTGCTGCTTTTTCCTTCTTTTTTCCCTATAAAACATATATATTTTTTCATAATTCCATTTATTTATCCAAAACCAAGTGTACAAGTCTTTCCTAAGAAATAGTCTCATTTATATCGGATTCAATGCATGAAACATACGTATTTAATTTCAGAAGACATTAAACATGCACAATTTGTAAACACTTTTTCCTAAAATTCAAGACTTATCATCGCACCTGCATTCTTCAGACCAAATGGCATAACGTTGTAGCAATAAAACCCTTGCTCACAAGGTATGCTCCTGATTAGGGACGTGCATCTTGATCTGGTTGTATCCATAGTAGGTATCCATAAATGTAAGTAGCTCATGGCCTACCGTCGCGTCGATGAGCTTATCTATTCGAGGAAGGGAAAGCTATCTTTCGGACACGCCTTATTGAGGCTCGTAAAATCAATACAGACGCGCCACTACCCATTAGACTTTTTAACGAAAACAACATTAGAAAGCCACACAGGGTAATGAACTTCTCTTATGAAATTAGCTCGTAAAAGTTTTCCAACCTCCTAACTGATTACATTGCCATGCTTAGCATTGGCAGGCCGACACTTTTGCTTTATAGGCCTACAAGACGGATCTACGTTAAGCCGATGCACTATAATCTCGGGGTCGATACTGGGCATGTCGTCATGGGACCACGCGAACACGTCGGGGTTTGCTTGCAAGAAGCTGACGAGCTCCTTTTTACCTCAGCCCCCAGCTTGCTACCAATACTGACCTGTTTGTCTGCTTCCAGTAATGGTACAAGCTCTAGTTCTTCGGCTGGAGTGCCGCGAACGAGCTCCGTCCCGATCCCTTGTAGTGGTGCTGGTGCGCCATGTTCCTGATGGGATGTTAATCCCGCAGCAGAAGCTATGATTTTCGTTCATGAATTTTAGAAGAACAAAACCCATAATGCAAAGTGTGAAATACAGGGGAAAATGTTTTCCCTTACCTTTGCAGAACTTTTATTCAACGATTCAATCTCCCGAACACCACCAAATGATCTTCTGTGATATTCTCTGGGTACGAGATCGTGCTTGTGGGAGTTTCGATTTGGAACAAGAGGGAAAATTGAGAGGGAGCACTTAAGAGAATGCAGGGGAAAAACTTTGGGATTCAATGTTTTGTATTTTTTTTTCAAAACTGTTATGAAAAAAACTCATAACCAAATCCTATGACGTGAGGAGTTACCCCACGTCACTTAACTCCCCACTCCCCTACAATTTTATAGGGGAGTTTTATTTTATTTAATAATATTAATAAAATTAATATTAATAAATAATATAAATAATTAAATAATTAATCATATTAATTAATAAATATTAATTAATTATTAATCTAATTAACAATGAATTAATATATATAAATCACATAATTAATTAACACTTAATTATTTATTACAAAAGTAGAATCATATTCTATAGCATTTTTCTCGTATAACCTATAGTCGTAATGTGTCTCATAACTGATTACATCTTATGACATTATTTTTAACCTATAGTTTTAATATAAACCTTATTCATACTAATTTTATTTGAATCTCATTCAAAAAATGTCTCTCATAATATATAGTTTTAATTTAGAATTAACTATATATTATAATGTATCAATATACATATAATCCCTTGAGTAATTTGAACATTTCAAATTTTTCCAAAAACTTGATCCTCGTTTTACCTGTTGTGAGCTAGCAAGGGGACCTAATGGACTTACAGATCAGAAGCTCCAACGATACAAGATTAATCGGTCAAACTCATTGACCGAGTTAATCAACATTCGTTAACTATGGGTCACTCCACTAAAGACCCGCAGCTGCACTCTTCTCACTGCATAATGTTTTCGTGTCCATGGATATACGACCATTAATGGCAAGTCAATCATTCACGAGTCCTTGTAACTCAAGCTGGGTCAAATTACCGTTTTACCCCTGAGTTACATTTTACTCTTTAAATACCACTGCTCCTCTAATGAACAACCCGGTTATGGTCTGACCAATAACTGGAAGTCACTCTCGGGCCAATGAAAGGGTGGGGCCCCTTGTTCAAGTCTCGGAGTCGGCATTTTAGAGAACACTCATCTACTCCCCTAAGGTTGGGGATGAGTGAATTTGATCTTGTGAAGTTATGTTCCCAACTCCTCACTCGGTCTCGTCCCCAAAATGGTAGGAATGTTGAGTCGACGACTCGGGCCACTCTCATCCATACAGATCAAAGGATGAGTTCTCACGGGCAGGAGTCCATAACTCACTCAAGATTGAGAATGAGTTGCCTGGTCATCATAAGAAATAGCAATCTGTTAGTTAATGGTGTTATATCTAAAGATTGGCTATTTCGCGGTCCGGTCTTATACACACTCATTGTATAGGATACCCCCACTCGCATGTCTCTACACGAACGACCTGGATCAAGTCGTCTGTAACATTTACAAAGTGGGTGGTATCCATAGTGTTGCCAGGATAAGATACCCAGCCTTATCCATATACTATATACCCTTTAGGTTATTCCCGAGACATTATCCAGTTGTATATCAGGGGTATATCAAATATATACCCAGTATATCATGGGTATATCAAATATATACCTAATATATATACTGTCCCGATTACATGATAATAACCTTGGATGTTTAGTTTATTGGATTTTGGAAATGCAATGCTATGAATTCAACAACAAATTGATTGAATAAAACTTGATTGAATATACATTTGTTTTTACATAAATACAAACTACGAGTTTAGGGCAACACACCCAACAGTTCCATGATCATTGTGCAAGTAGCAGACCCTTTCAGAATAGTTGCGTAGCATTTTCTCGAGGTTTTATACTCACCTCGAATCCTAGCAATCCCCATGGGGGTCGGATACTTCAAAACCTAATGATATGTAGACGGAACTGCCTTGAGGTCGTGAATTAACTACCGGCCAAGAATGATGTTGTAGGCTGAGCTTCGATTTATCACGACGAACTCAGTGACCTTGGTCACCTAGTGCTCCGCTTCGTCGAAAGTTACAGGAAGTGAGATACACCTTTCTGCACTGACCGATTCCTCTGCAAAGCCGATCAGAGGTGTAGGGCTGGGCTTCAAGTGCCTTTTCTCCCACCCTAAAGCTGAGTAGGTTGAGAAAGACAACACGTTGGTCGAAGCCCCACCATCAACGAGAACTCTTCTGACCTTCACGTGGTTTATCTTTGGCGCAATTACAAGAGCATCATTGTGGGGCATATGTATCCATTTAGCGTCATGCTCGTCAAATAGGATTGGTACCACGACCTCCTTAGAATACGAGGTGCAGACCTCATGCGCGACTTCCCGAACTAAAGCCTTCCTCTTATGCCCCGATTGGCCCCCACTCGGGCCCCAGTGGATGGTGTTTATGACTGGAGGATGATTATCCTTATGCCTCGGTGACCGCGACCCTTCTCGCTTCTCTTCCTTTTGTCGACTTCTCTGGCTCGGCTCGATCTTTGTTGCTGACATACTTCTTCAAATAACCCCGACGTATCAAGTTCTTGACTTCTTCCTTTAGGTGAAAGAAACAAGAGGTCTCGTGGCCGTGATCCTTATGGAATCAGTAATAAAATCGCTTGTATCATTTTCTTGAAGGTCGTCGAAGATTATCGAGTGATGCGAATAGCGTCTCTAGGTCGGTATCTTCGACTGCGATTGAGGCATTCAACAATTGAGGCATTCAGCGTAGGAAGCTTGTCAAACCTTGGCCCACGCCGATCTGAGGAGCTCTTGTCATCTCGTCGGTCTCCATGCTTATCATCACTGGTTCGTCGAGACGATCTTCGGTCATCATCGTGCCGTTTCTTAGAAGACGGAGACTTAGAGTCTTTGTCTTTGCTGCGACTGCTGCGCCTGGCTCTGTTGGCCTTGCACAACTCTAGCCCATCAATATACAGACGAGCTCTGGCGAGCATCTTGTTCAAAGAGGCCGGTGGACGACTCCCGAACTCGATCGTCAAGTTTCGGTTATTTAACCTTGTCATAAAATACATCATAGCGATTTCCTCAGTGCATTTCACCACTTTAACATGCTCGTCCAGAAACTGGGCGATGTACTCTGTAAGAGACTCATTGTCCCATTGCTTCACAGTTCCTAGGTGGGATGGTGGTAGTTTCAACAACTGCCTAGTCGAGAACTGCTTAATGAACAACATTCGCAACTGTTGATAACTGTCAATCGACTTCGGCTTCAACTACCGATACCACGATCTTGCCGAGCCCTCCAACGCTATCTGAAACGTTTGACAGTTCATCGCATCACTCGCGGCCAAAAAATCCATTTTCCCTTCGAACACTCCGACGTACGACACCGGATCTCCAAACCCATTGTACAAGCTTTAAATTTCGACGGGATAGTGCTTCCAAGATCGCCTGGGAGAAAGGGGGCTGTTCCTGCTCGATCGCCCGATGCGGATCTAAAGGTTTGCGCTGCTTCTTGAGGTCCTTTATCTCCCTCTTGAATTGATCGTGGAGGTGATCCACTTCGGATCGGATGTCGTGGTCTCCTTGAGAGGACTTCTGCCGATCATTCACCTCCAAACTTCTCTCCCTTTGTGCGTCAAGCCGGTATTCTTGACCCTCGGGTGCAGTCCACCAACGTCAGAGTGGATCATCATCCCAGCCTTGACATACTATAAGACATACTTTTATACAATATAATTAAGCATGCATCACCGTTCAAATAAAACATCAATATGCATAATAAATTGTTAAATACATATATCAAACATATATAATTGAAATAATATAGTGATATTGACCGGTATATATTTCGCATATGTTAAGAGAATTGAAATTCAATGCAAATTACCAAATTTAAATATTTCAAGACATATCTTGGCTTTCAATTTTCTCCTCTTAGGCTTAGTAAATTCCCTTTCTTCCTTGTGTAGCCGCCGCCAACTAAAAAAAAAAAAATCACTATAGCATTGTCCAGAACCGAAACCATGGATACACAGCTACTTTCGGCTAAAAAAAATTGATGCGTCAGCTTCTTCCTTAACGAACTGTCGGAATCACTTGAGAAGCTATCAGAACATGAAGCATCTTACCTTGGAGGACCTTACGTCACCGTATGAAGGTTCTTTATGGATCTCAAGAGCTTTGGGATATTGTTGATAGAGGATATTTGGATCTAGAAGGTGGCGATGGTCTTTCACAACAAGAACTCAACAAGTTGAGAGATGCTAGAAAGAAAGACAAAAAGGCATTGTTTTTTATCTACCAAGTTGTAGATAAAAATATCTTTGAAAGAATTTCAAGAGTCTCAACTACTAAAGTGGCATGGGATGAATTGCAAAGTTTGTATGAAGGAGAGGAAAAGGTAAAAATGGTATGATTGCAAGCACATCGAGCTGAATTTGATTCCATTAGAATGAAAGAATCTTAAACTATTGAAGAATTTTTTAATCGTGTACTCTCTATTCTTAATCAAATAAGATCAAATGGAGATGCAATTGAAGATCAAAGAGTGGTAGAAAAGATCCTTAGAAGCTTTTCATATGCAAACTTCTTCTAGAGCTTGGTAGATATGAGCACATTGTAGTAGCAATTGAAGAGTCCAAAGATTTCTCAACACTCTCCATAAACAGCTTGATGGGATCTCTTCAACCTCATGAGCTTAGATTGAAGCAATTTGATGCTACTCCTTCATAAGAAGCTTTTCATATGCAAACTTCTTATAGAAGAATATTTAATGGAACAGAAGGTGGACATAGTGGTTGAGGAAATGAATGGTCCAATGACTTCAAATGTTTTGAGTCAGAGAGAAGAGATAATAGAACTTCTTCAAATAGAGGAAGGGGAAAGAAGTTCAAGAAGAGGAAGAAGTAGAGGTGGGGGTCATGAAGATTTTTCTCACATACAATGCTTCAATTTTGAACGCTACGGGCACTTTCAAGCAGACTGTTGGTTTAAAAAGACCAATCATAATCAGGTCGAGACCACTCCGATGCATGAACAACAAAATTATGATATAAGCCTTCTTTTTCTCACATTTAATGTCTAAGAAACAAGTACTGAAGATATGATATCTTGATAGTGGTTGCAGTAATCACATGATAGGAAGAAAGGATATTTTTGTAACTTTGGATGAATCTCTTCAAAATGAAGTGAAGACTGGTGACAACAAGAAGCTCGCAGTCAATAGAAAAGGAGATAATATCGTAAAGACAAAGACTGGAGCAAAAAGAATCACTGATGTGTATTATTTTCCAGGAGTCAAACACAATCTTTTAAGTGTTGGGTAGCTTTTATTGAAGGGACATCATGTTGTCTTTAAAGATGGCATATGCGAGATCAGAGCCAAGAATGGAAGCCTCATAACAAAAGTACAGATGACTCACAAAAAAATGTACTATGAGAAACTTATTTGTTTTGAAACTTTAGTGAAAGACACTTCATGGCTTTGGTATTATCGATATAGGGACCTGAGTTCTTACACTTTGCCTAACATATGTCAACAACATATGGTGAGAGGAATGCCAAATATTAAGAGGGAAAATCAACTTTGTGAAGCATGTATTTTGGGAAAGCATCATCAAAATCCATTTCTGACAGGAGGTTCTTGGAGAGTATCAAACCTTGAGCTAGTACATACAGACTTATGTGGACCCATACGAACTACTAAGCTTGAAGGTAATCGTTATTTTCTCACATTTATTGATGACTATAGTCGGAAGACATGGATTTACCTGTTAAAAGAAAAAAGTTATACTTTCAAGTATTTCAAAACATTCAAGGCAATGATTAAAAATGAAAGCAACTTGAAATTGAAAATGTTGCATTCGGATCGTGGAGGAGAATATACCGCTTTTGAAGATTTTTTGAAGGAAAAGGAATCAATCATCAAAAGACTGTTCGAAGAACTCCTAAAAAGATGGAGTTGCAGAGAGAAATAACATAATCACAATGGAGCTTGAAGAAGTATGTTAAAGACCAAGAATATTCCAAATGAATTTTGGGGAGATGCGGTGACATGTGTTGTTTATCTCTTGAATCGTGCTTCAACCAAAAGTGTTCAAGGCCTTATTCCTCAAGAAGCATGGAGCGAATTAAAGCCAACTGTTAGTCACCAAAGAGTATTTGGCTGCATTGCTTATTATCATGTATCTAATAAGAAAAGAGGTAAGCTAGATGATAAATCAAAAAAAATGTATTTTTGTCAGGTACATTGAGAACTCCAAGGCTTATAGATTATTCAATTCTATAAGCAAGAAAATCATTATCAGTCGAGATGTAAAATTCAATAAAGCAGAATTTGGGAGATGGAATGCTACAAATGGAAACCACAATCCATTACTTATTGACATAAATGACAAATGAGATGCTCAAGACTTGGAGCTTGAAGAGACAAAACCAGCAGCCTCATCTTCATCTCCACTTTCCACAAGTGACGAATCAACTCCACCGAGGAAGATGAGGAATATTCAAGAGATCTATAATGCTTCAAGAAGAATACCTAAAGATGAACCTATTGATTTTTGCCTTATTTGCTTTATTTGTAGAGAACTTCAAGGGAATGCTACGCCTCCGCACTCAAAGGGTCATCAGTATGCGCCCTGGAAAGACAAGCTAACAGGGACGAGTTGCCGAAGCTCGAGGCCGACCTACCAAAATCTGGTAAAAGGGAGTTCTCAGCACGAACCGAGGAACTCG